GGCCAAGACAGAATCCTTTACCATTCCTTCTGCCTGAGCAGGATCCAGCCCTACCAGGCACCTGCTCGGTGCTTGACTGACTCGGCCATCATTGACCCCATGTTCCTCGGGACGACTTGCATTTTCAGGGACAGACCCTTGAATTTCACGAGTTTGTGTTATAAGAAGAAAAGCCAACCCGTAGGCAGAGAGAAAGAGTTGTGTAAGATTTTATTTGAGAATAATGGAAAAGGCTCCTATGGAGATGTTCTGTATGTCTTGTTTTTGGATTCTTTGCTCACTTTCTATGGCATTTCCTAACACGGTAGCGGTAGGAGATAAATGTTCTGACACAGACAGGTCTGGAAGTGGTTTATTCCACTCTCTTACGCCGATGATCGTTTGACTCTACCGTTCTTGGATGAAGGAAATTTCCCCTGGAAGTTGGAGCGTGTGCATCACCCTGGCGTCCCCCCAGTGTTGAATGTAACAGCTGATGAGTGGGATCCATGCTCATTCTTGTTTCTTTGTAGGTGATTTTTCTCCCTCTCTAGTAGCTTCCAGAACCTTCTCTCCATCCTGGTATTCTGAAATTTCATGATGGTGCATGCTGGGTCATTCTTCAGTGGAAAGCTGAGCAATTCGTAGGTCATCTCAATTTGGAGCCTCAACGTTTTAATTCTAACGAACTTTCTTGAATTATTTCTTTGATAACTTTCTCACTTTGACCTCCTGCTTTTCCTACTAGAACTCCTACGAGGGGGATGTTGGTTCTCCACACTGATCTTTTATGTTACCTGTGGAGGGTCTACGGGGCGAATAAAAGAAGAGCCTGTTCTCCTCTGAAGTTTGAAACCAGTTGAGAATGAGGACACAGTAGACAGATACGTGAATGTGGAGATGTTAGCTTTATTGCTGATAGGCAGTGAAAGGTGGATTTGGCTTAAAACCTTAAATCAAAACCAACAAAACAACAAAACAAAATAAACCTTAAATCAAAAGGACTTGTTAAGATTTCATCCAAGAATTAGGCAGAACTATCTGCCCTGTGGCAGGTAGGGCTGGCCAGGTGGCCTTCCCCGCAGAGGGTGGATTACAAGGTGGGCGGAAGGCAGCGGGGCAAGGCAGGCTTTCTCCCCTGGGCAGGAGTGAGGGGCTGGGGGGCTGGGGGGATGGGGGGGAGGCCCAGAGACTTTCCCTGATGAGAAATATATGCGGAAACATGAGGCCAGGGAAAAAAGTCCCCCAATTTAGCTGATTTCTCATTAACATAATTTTTCTTTTTATCTCGGTTCTTTTGGTTGTTCTCTCTCTCTCCCTCTCTCTCTTCCCTGGAATTTATCTTCCAAAGCTCCTACTAATTTTTGGACTTCAGCAATATTATTATCATTTTTTTTTTTTAATTTTCAAAAGATCTTTCTTGCTTTCTGAACAAGTATCTAGAATAGAATATACTGGAAATTCTGGTTAATCCACAACGTGAATTCAGGAAACCCAAGAGGAAAATAGATGACGGATATGAGAAGGCAGCCCACACAAGGGGAAACCCAAATGGTTCACACATAGATGAGGACGTGTCCAAGCCCACTCTTAACTAGAAATGTGGAATGAGAGAGTAGGAAGATGGCAGCAGATTGGCAGCAATTGGGAAGTTGAATAATATCAAGTTGGGAAGGGTGGACTGGAAGGGAGGGGACCTTCATGGGCTGGTGGTGGGGGTGTCACCCAGCACAGCCATTCCGGAAAATGGGCACCCTGACAAGGCTTGGTGAAAACGAGCACCAGAATGCTTTGTTGATCTCATAATTTGACCCTGGGTGTACTTTGCAGGGATGGTGTCCTCTAGATCCACCCAGGAACGTGACAAACCCTTAATAACAAAGAGAAGACAGAAAGATAATTTCTGGGTTATTAATATTCTCATAGAAGGAGCAGGGGTGGAAGATGTTGTGGGAGGTTGTGCAAGGGAGGCAGAGGACCAGCCAAGCAAAGAAATAAAGGGAGCAAAGACTACTAAAAAAAAAATATTGTGGATATGATCTCATCGGTGCAAGAATGTGCGTATGCTTGGAATGAAGTGCGAGAATTTTCTGTGACCCAGCGATTTCATTCTTGGATGTGGTTCCAGGAGAACTTCTCGCGTACGTCCTCATGGGAACATGATATGAACACTGACCGCGGTGTTAATCGTGGTAGTTGGGGATTGGCGACATCTTAGGGTTCATGACTGGAGGACTGGGTAAATAAACCATGATTGATCCACACCAGTGAATACCATGCACGGGCTCATAGCAACAAGCCAGATGTACAAATAGCAACATGGACAGATCTTAAACATTTGTTGTTGGGTGAAGAAGGTCAGGAACAAAAGATTTATGAAAGTTCCATTTCTGTATATAGCAGAGAGGGCACACAAAACCCACCGCGTATTTTATAAAGATTCCTATTGAGGCATAGCTACTCTTTGCATTACCTATGGATACATAACATACCAACCCCAAATTCAGTGGCTTAAAACAGAGGACTACTCATTATTTCTTAAGATTCTCTGGGGCCAGAAATTTGGGCAGGGAGAGGCCAGGTGGCCCATGTTGTATTGGCTAGGGTTACACGCTTGGGGGCATTCAGCTGTTGGCTGGGCTGGGCTGGGAGCTCCCAGAAGGCTTTGTTCACACGTCCTCGGGCCTCAGCACTCCTCTGTGTAGCCTCTCTCTGTCTCTCAATCTCCATATTGTGTCTTACTTCCCCACCCCCAGCCCAGCCCAGGCCTCTCTCTTTCTCTAGCAGGATAGCTGGACTTCCTTAAAGCGTGGTCGTTTGTGTCCAAGCCTGAAAACTGAACCTTCCAGGTCTCTGAAGGCTGAGCCCAGAACTGGCAGAATGTCCCTTCTAGCACTTTCTACTGGCCATGGCAAGTTGCGAAGTTTGCTCAGATTCAAGGGGAGGGAAACAGACTCTAGCTCTGGATGGATGGTGTGACTTGCATGTACAGCGAGGGAAGGAGCTGATGGCCACCATCTTTGGAGACCGTCACATACAGCAAGCACGCCATTTTGGCTGCCTGTGGAGAGTAGAATTGGTTTGGGGGAACCGGATGGAGGAGGGAAAGTAGGAGGGGAGACTGAGGAAGATGGTGTATCACGAACTCAGGACTACAACTAACCTAATTTTCTGTGCTTGAGGTACAAAAAAATAAAATAAAAATAAAAATCCCAAACCAAAATCAACCAAATAAAACAGGATTCCTTAACCCAAATCAGAAAAACCCAACAAAAAAGTGACAAGACCATATGAAACCTTCAGAAAGTGTACATCAACTTTTGGTAAATTAAGATGCTGACTTTCAAACAGGGAGAAAGGGAAGGAGGCAGAGCATGTCTCTTGTGTTCCCTGCACTCTCTCCCCAGGAGGGGGTATGGGGGTTGAGCCCCAAAACTTGGAATCAGTTCCGTTGAGGTGCGTCGCCAGCGAGAACCCCTCCCCCCGTCCCGCCCCATCCCCAGATGGCAGTCAGTCAACCTTGGCCTGCAGTAGGTAATCCACTTGGTAAGCTCTTACCCAAATCTTGGACCTAAAACCACATCCCCGCCAAGACTCGTGCCTCCCAGCGGTGTTTTCCAGACTTTGAGTAGCGGCCCACTAGTGGATTGGGAAACTCGCTTCAGTTGGTCACGAACTAGGACGCAAGGAGCAAGGTTACATTGTTCGACGAAACTTTCATGTCAATAATGCGAGAATCCATTCCTTCACTTACTCATTCATTCAGTAGGTACTAGTTGAGCACCTACAATGTGCCAGGCGCCAGGAATTCAGAAGAAAGTAAAACACACAAATGTGTGTGTGCGTGTGTCCCTCACGGAGGGATATTGTGTGTGTCAGAAAGTTGCTGCCCAAACACTCAGGCCTCTCCTTCCCTTTTCAGCATGAAGGCTTTTAGTGGAAGAGGAGAAACTCTGCCCTTGGCTGGCGGCCCGTTTGGCGGGGGTCAGAAGGTTCGCGTTGCCAGGGCCGCGCAAGGGGCTTGGTGAGGTCGGATCCCTCTGCCCAGGGAGGGCTGCCTCCTGCCTCCGCCCCCTTGTGCCCCTGGTCCTTGAGGGGCTTTATTCCCTGGACAGCGACGCCCCCCAGCCCAGAGCCGGGGAGCCTGGCTGCTGAGCCCGCGCACGTTGGGCAAGAGCAGAGAACCCGCCCCTCTGATCCCTGCCGGGGATATTTGGAGACACCAGCAATTCTGGGAAATCCGGGGGCAGGGAGGGAAAGGGGGGAGGGGCAGAGGGGACCCGGTGAACTGTGCCCCAGCCCCTCCTGGCCTGGACCCCTCCAAACTGTGTGGTGAGGAGTGAGGTGGCCGGTGTGTGGGGGCGAAGGGGGAGAGGCCAGGAGACTCCTTTCTCTGGGAAGAACGGAGACAGTTGTGTCCCCCCGCCCCCGCCACGCTTTGCCTGAGTTCCAACCCTGTTTCTGCTTCTATTTACTGTCCAAAGTCCCGGGGGCAGGAGATGCCAGGTTAGAACCACTTGGACCCTGGGACACAGGGGCTCAGGGGCCTCGCCTGGACCAGCCCCTCCTGGTTGCACCTGCTCCACTTCTCGCTGTAGCCCCTCCTTGCCCTGGGGCCTGGGCCGCCCGAGCCACCGGGGAGTCAGCCCTCCACACCTTTCACAGGTAACCGAGGTGGAGGAGGCAGGTGGGACTGGGGATATTCGGTATTGAGGAGACCCTTGTTCAGGGACAGCGGGGGCCAGATGGACGGGGGCTGGTTTGGTCCATGAGAGTGTGGAAGGAGGGCTCCTGGCCACGCCAAGGCCCGAGCAATCTCCTGAGAAGGGACAGGACCCAGCTGTATTTCCGCCCCACACTCACCTCCAACCTTAGACCCAGCCCAACCTGCTCCCACCCTACGTCCAACCCCATCTTCGGCCTCTGCCCAAAGTAGCATCTTAGCACAAGCCTTAGCCCCGAGCTCAGCCCCAGCCCTAAGGGGAGCCTCAGCCCAACCCCGCTCCAGCCCTGCACCCGGCATGGCCAAGGACTTTCAAGACATCCAGCAGCTGGACTCCGAGGACAATGACCACCAGCTGGGTGGAGGTGAGGGCCCGGGCCCTCGTGGGCACAACCCCAGGAGAGGAGACAGGCTCTGCGTAGGTGAGTGTCTGGTTTCTGGGGCTTCACTCCCCCTCTGTCTAGCTGCTGGTGGCTCTCTGTCTTGCTGAGGTCACATTCACCCGAGACCAGGGACAGGGCTTCTCTGGGTGTAGGATGCCTGTCTCCTCTGCTTGCCCCCTGACCTCACCTTGCTCTCTACCCGCCCCTCCCCCCGGGGACCCCCGGGAAGGGTGTCTGCCCTGAGGGCGAGGGAATAACTCGAAGCTGGAGATGACCTTGTCCCCCTTCCTCCCAACCTGAGCAGGGTGCGCATGCGCGTGTGCACGTGTGTGCCGTGTGTGCATGTCTGTGTGTGCAAGGAAAGCACATGCAGCAGGAGGGTGTGTATGTGGGAGGTTTGGGGGATGGGGGATGGGCACAGAGAGATCCCGGGAGACCCCCACGCCCCTAAGCGCCCTGCCTAGATCTTTCTCTAGCAACTCCAGAAGGAAGACTCCAGTGTCTGGGAACTGTTTTCAGGCGAGAGAGATCTGAGCTGAAGGGCAGGAGCCAGGAGGCGGGGAGGGGGTCTGGTGATGGAGTGAGGCTCCATGGAGACAGGAGCTCAGGGAGGGGGTTTGTTAGCCTGGGCTGGGAGGGGGGCCCCCATTCCCGAGGCTGGCAGACAGCGGGAGGGGGGGAGCCTATCAGGGCAAGGGCAGCAGGAGGGACAGGCGTCCCCACCCACGGCTTCTCCCTTCCCGGGTAGTGAGCGGGGGCAGGGGGGGTAGTCAGGGGCGACATGAATCACACCCTGTGCGTCCTCAGTGCCCATGTGATGCCTGGTATGTAGCGAACACTAGGGATGATTTTGGATATTGTCGGATCCTCTGAGGGCGAGAGGATTCAGTTTAAGCAGGAGGCTTCGACAGAGTCGAGAGGTTTTGGATTTCACAGAGGAGGGAGCTCACCCCAAAAGACCTGATGGACAGCACCTGCTTTTCCAGGACAAGCTTCCACTCTTCCTAGCACTCTAGAAGCCTACAGTTTTCCGCCAGTTTGGCAATGTTTCAACCACTGTTTCCTCAAAACCCCTTTTTCTGCCACCCCCCCCCTGCCCCGCTCCTTTCTCCTTCAAGGACTGTAATTATGCATGTATTCATGGCCCCACGGTTCACTGATACGCTCCCTGTCGTTTTTTTTTTTTTAATTCTTTTCTCTTTCAGTGTTTCTTTTTCTATAGTTATTATTGCTGTGTCTCCAAGTTCACTAATCTTTATTGACGTCTCATCTTCCGCTAGTTCTACCCAGTGTATTTTCCATGTCAAACATTGTAGTTTCATGCCTAGGAGTTCAACCTGGGATTTTCAAGTATCTTCCTTGACTTGTACTTATGTTTTTGAACAGAAGACAGTTACAATATATGTTGTAATGTCCTGTGTCTGCTAATTCTAACCCCTGTGTCCATTCTGGGTCAGTTTTGATACATTTATTATTATTATTTTTAAAGATTTTATTTATTTATTTGACACAGAGAGAGAGACAGCAAGAGAGGGAACACAAACAGGGGGAGTAGGAGAGGGAGAAGCAGGCTTCCCACTGAGCAGGGAGCCCGATGCGGGGCTCGATCCCAGGACCCTGGGATCATGACCCGAGCCGAAGGCAGACACTTAATGACTTAGCCACCCAGGCGCCCCAGTTTTGATACATTTATTAACCTCCTCATTACGAGTTGTGTTTTCCTGTCTCTCTGTATGCCTGGTAATCTTCGATTGTGGGCTAGACATTGTGAATTTTACCATGTCGTGTGCTGGATATATTTGTATTCCTCTAAATATTCTTGAGCTTTGTTCTGGGGTGTGGTTAAGCAATGTGGAGTCAATTTGATCCTTTTGGGTTTTGCTTTTATGACTTTTTTTTGTTAGAAAATCTGTTTTTTTTTAAAGATTTTATTTATTTATTTGAGAGAGAGAGAGAATGAGAGATAGAAAGCACGAGAGGGAAGAGGGTCAGAGGGAGAAGCAGACTCCCCGCTGAGCAGGAAGCCTGATGTGGGACTCGATCCCCGGACTCCAGGATCATGACCTGAGCCGAAGGCAGTCGCTCAACCAACTGAGCCACCCAGGGTCCCAGAAAACCTGCTTTTTTTTTTAAAGTTTATTTAACTTTTTTAGTAATCTCTACACCCAACTTGGGGCTTGAACTCATCACCCTGAGATCAAGAGTTGCATGCCCTTCCGACTGAGCCAGCCAGGCGCCCCTGCTTTTATGATGGTTAGGCGGGCCTGGAGCACCCCCGAAGCACCATTCCTGGACCTGTATGAGTGCGAGGCACTGTTCTCCAGCCCTTTCGGGTTGGTTTTGTCCTGGCCTGGGGTAGTTTTCTTGACATGCATGTGTTGATCAGTGCTCAGCAGGTTGCTTGGGGGATACCTCTGCAGACCTCCAGGATTCTGTGGGCAGCTCTCTCCTCTCTGATACCTTGTTCTGTGACCTCTGCCACCTTGGTCATCCCCAACACCTCGGGGAGTCTGCTGGGCTCTGCTTGGATTTCCCTCCTTGCCACCCAGCTGAAACTTTCCCCTAGCAGCAGCTGGGGAACCACTGGGCTCATCTTGTTCCCTCAGGGGGGAACAAGATCTCTCAGGGATCTTTGCCCTTTGTTGCCTGAGGTTCAGGTGTCTTGAAAAAGGTGGCTTCTCATAGTTGTCTGGTTTTTTTGTCTTGGTTGTTTCTGGCGGGGAGGGGGAATCTAGCCCCCATCTTTCCATGTCTGGCAGATCCTTTTACCTTCAAACTTGCCTGGGCAGTGCTTTTTATGTTTTACCTCATTTTGTTCTCAGAACAGTCCAATTAGGTCGCTGCTCTTCTTACCCCCATTTTTAAAAATTTTGATAAGAGGGCGCCTGGGTGGCTCAGTTGGTTAAGCGACTGCCTTCGGCTCGGGTCATGATCCTGGAGTCCTGGGATCGAGTCCCACATCGGGCTTCCTGCTCAGCGGGGAGTCTGCTTCTCCCTCTGACCCTCTTCCCTCTCATGCTCTCTATCTCTCATTCTCTCTCTCTCAAATAAATAAATAAAATCTTTAAAAAAAATTGTGATAAGAATACTGAGTATGAGTTCTGCGCCATAGCACGCGTCAGTGCAGGTGTAAGGATGTACCGCAGATGTCTGGAAATTACTTGTCTTGCATAACCAAAACTTTACACCCATTGAACAGCAACTATTGTTTCCCCAGACCCTGGCAACCACCCTTCTACTCTTGATGTCTGTGAGTCTGGCTATTTTAGATACTAGAAGTGGACATGAGAAAATTTGAGCGACCAAGCGGTCAAGCGACTTGCCCGTGATCTCAGAGCTAGCTGGTGACCCAGCTGGACTCAGCCACAGGTGGTCCGACTTCAGAGTGGAGGTGCGGGCACAGATCGCCGAGCTAGCCCAGAACTGGGGTTTCTGGATCATAGGTCAGGTTGGGAAGCAGGACAGGGGCAGTGGACAGGGTTGGAGAGAACAGTTGGACTCAGCCACGGGGTCCTGGCTGGGTGGGGAAGACCGTGGTCAGGGAGGGCTTCTGGATGGAGAGATGCCCAGGGGATGGGAGGGTGTGAGAGGAAGGGTGTGTGGAGGGGAGGCTGTGCTCAGAGAGGGGGAGCAGGCAGTGGAGGTCAGAGACATGGCCTCTCTGAGTCAACATGGGGTCCTGAGTGTGTCTGAAGGGGGAGAAGGTGACAGTCATTGGTATGAGGATTTCAAGAGCTCTGGGTGGTCACTCACAGGGAGTGTCCACTTCAGGATGGCGGCAGAAGGTGAACTTGGGAGGAAGACTCTGGGCCCCTGCCTGACCACCCCAGGAGGCAGAGGTGCCTGGTGCCGTGGCAGTGAGCAGACAGGAAGGTGGGCTCTGAGCCAAAGAGGAAGCATCTTGTTTGCAAGTGGATGGTGCAAAAGCAGGGGGTGTGTTTGTGAGTGTGTGAGATCATGTGTGTCTGTGTGTACACGTGTGAGGAGACATGTGAACGTGTGCCTCAGTGAGTGTGTGCACAGCTCTGAGCAGGACAGTGAAATGAGAGGAGTGTGCACACATGGGGGGGTCGGGGTTCAGTCTGGCCAAGGGCAGGGAGAGGTTTCTGTGAGGTTCTGCTGAAGCTAGAAGGGAGAGTTGGTGGTGGAACAAGGGGGTCTGGGGGCCCCAGGGTAGAGGGAAATGCCAGCGGAGAAGGATGGGGGCTGGGAGGGCAGACCCCAGGGAGCCGTCTGCAGTGGAATGACCCGCAAGTAAGGAATGAGGGGTCTGTTGTTGCAGTTTGGGATTTGTCTGAGGGGCCTGGGCATGGACTGTGAGAAGAACACAGGGCCTGGACCCGGGTCCTCCTGGTCAGAAAGTGGGGCTTTGCACACAGATGATGTGAACTATCATGGGCCCTGTGCTTTGTATTGTGTGCACCTGTGTTGGTATGTGTGCGTGTCTGCCTGTGTTCATGGGGCAGCGAGTGTGCAAATGCACGTGTGTGCAACGCCTGGCCCCTGGGGTCAAAGCCCAGTGACTCCCTGCGCAACCAGCTCCCCGTCTACTTCCCTCCCACCCACCCAGGCATGTGCCTCCTGAGCCTTCTGTTCCCCCGGGGGCTCCCACATGTCCACTCTCTGGGTCCCACCTCCCCAGGTCCCCCCTTCTGACACCCCTTCTTCTCCCGCAGGGATCCCCACGCAGCCACCCCTTCGGCTGCGGCGCTTCTGCTCCACCTTGCGCCTCAGTCTGTTTGTCCTGGGCTTCAACGTCCTGCTGCTGGCGGCCATCTGCGTGATTGGGTCCCAAAGTGAGGGTCGCAGGGACCAGTGGGGAGGGGGGCGCCGAGCCGGGGGCCACGAGAGCTTGGGGAGCGCAGCGAGGGGGCAGGAAGGAGCAGCGCTGGGACAGCTGTGGGGCGGTGATGGGGCCGGGACGGGGTGGGGACGTGGACAGGCTGGGGCTGTGAGGCCAGACGCGGCCCCCCCCCACTCTGTCCTGTGCCCTCTGTCTCCTGGCAAGGAGCACAGCTGCAAGAGGAACTGCGGATCCTAAAGGAAAACTTCAGTCACTTCTCCAACGGGGTCCTGTCGGAGATCCGCACTCTCCGCTCGCATGGTGCGTGGGCGCTTTGGTGCGGCAGGGGCTGCGGCTTATCCGCGCGCTGGGTTTGCCGCGCTCTGTGCTGGGCGCCCGGTGCCCCGTCTGCAGGAGGGGCGTGTTTGGGGTGCTGCGGGTAGGACACCCGGCCCGAAAAGCTGGGCAAGGCGTCCAGGGACGCTGATCCCTGGGCCGAGGGAGCCTGAAGGATGAACAGGCAGGGGAAGACGATGGGGGTTCGTGCCAGGTAGAGGGAACAGAATCTGCAAAGCCAGGAGGTGAGGAAGACTACCGTCCATTCCCGTGTGACCCTTTGCAGTGTGGCAGGGGCGAAGTGGTGAGGGCTGGACAGAGAGGCGGGTAGGGGCCGGTCCCGCTGGCAGGCACCTCGTGCTAATGAAGTGAGGCCCTGTTCTGAGAACATGGGGACCTGCTGAGGGGGTTGAAGCAGGAGAGCGGCGGGCGCAGGTGTGTGCCTTAGCAAGCCACTGTGGGGACCGGGTGGAGTCAGGGAGGCTCGGGTGGGCGCGGATGGAGGGCCGTTAAGGAGGCAGAAGGGAGGGAGAATGGTTGAGCCTTCCTCTTTCTCAGGGAGCAGTGCCAGTCACCAGCTGACCTCTCTGGAAGCCAAGCTGGAGAAACAGCAGAGGGATGTGAAAGCAGGTCAGAGACCCCCCCCCGCGCTCCCCGGCTTGAGTGTGTGCGTGTTGCGTGTCCTCAGCCCCGAGGCTGGCGCGCCGTGGGGGGTCCCGGCACGTGGGCACCCGCACCGCCCACATCCCGCCCCCCACGCCATGCCCTAGATCACGCCGCCTTGCTCCTGCATCTGAAGCACTTCCCCATGGACCTGCGCATCCTGACTTGTCAGATGGCCTTCTTCCAGAGCAACGGTAGGGACAGAGGGAGCCTCCCGCCCAGTGTGCCTGCGCCCGCAGCCGGGCCCTCACCTCCCCCTGCCGCCGCAGGTACACAGTGCTGCCCCCCTAACTGGCTGGAGTACGAGGGCAGCTGCTACTGGTTCTCCCGCTCCGGGAAGACCTGGGCCGAGGCGGACGGGTACTGCCAGCTGGAGAGCGCCCACCTGGTGGTCATCAACTCCAGAGAGGAGCAGGTGAGACTACACCTTCCCGGGGTGCAGCTGGGAAGCTGGGTCAGGCTGCTTTATTATTAGTTTTTAACCAAAGGAAGAGTCCAGAGGCCGAGGTCTGGGAGAGCCCTGGGAAGTTCATGGTGAAGCAGCCACTGATTTTAAGAGGTGGGACATTATTGGAGCCAGGAGCCAGGTGAGCAGGTGATGAGCGGCAGGTGGGGAGACAGAATTCCAGACGGAATGAGCTGAAGGGCCACGGGCGTGGGTGGAGAGCACAGCGCCGGGGCTCGGTGCCTTCTTGCTGCATGTGGGTGTGTGGTCACTGGGCGAAAGGGACCGAGTGGGTAGGATTCCCAGGGACACACCTGCCATGGGTTACTGGGTCCCTCCAAAGAGTTCCTGGTCTCCCCTGCCCACTGCCACCACAGGCCACAACCCGGAACACCAGAGTTCGCAGGGGACAGCCAAGCCATTAGGGTAGGTGGGGACATTTTTTCAAAAAGGAGGATGTGACTGGTAACAGTCACTGAGTCTTTGCTCGGTGCTAAACACTTTCATATATTCACCTGTAATCCTCATGACCCCGTGGGCAGGCACGCTCATCCCCTTCGAGGGAGGGAGAGATAAGGGGACCAAGGAAACGGTGTGTGTGTGTGTGTGTGTGTGTGTGTGTGTGAAGTAACTTGCCGGTAATGCAGGATGGAGCCAGAATTCAGATTCACTGACCTCCTTACTCAGTGTTTTCAACAGTACATGTTGCCAGAATACATTTATCAAATATATATAGAATATATGTATTTATATATATCAAATACTAAGTAAATATGTAAATACATATAAACATATACATTATAAATCTATAAATATATAAAGGCATTTCTCTTACAGATTGTGAATACGTGTTGTTTCCAATTTTTAAAAACTGAGTAAGAGTCTTCTCTTTTAATAGATGTGTATCTCATTTACATTTGTTTTTAACAGACATGTTTAACCTCAAGCCTGTTTTTTTTTTTTTCTGTCGATATTCTTCTTTTGTTTTCTCACGTTTGCTGTGTGAGATGTATTCTTTTTGTTTTCTCCCCTATGGTATTCTGAACCAGATGTAGCTTCTTTTTGGTTATACTAGTGATTACTTTGATCATTTTAAATGATGGACTGAAATTTATCGGCTTCAAAAAAGTCAGAGAGTTCATATAACTTTCCATATGAAAGATGAGGAAACCAGTCTACTTACATTCTTCACATGCCTCCTCTTTTTTGTTTGTTTGTAAGTAGGCTCCATGCCCAGTATGGGGCTGGAACTCACAACCCCGAGACCAAGGGTTGCATGCTCTATGTACTGAGCCAGCCAGGCGCCCCACCTTGTTCTTTTTTTTTAAAAAATTGAGATATAATTGACATATAACATGGTGTAAGTTTGAGGGGTACAATGTGTTGGTTTGATACATGCACATGTTGCAATATAATTACTCCAGTAGCATCAGCTAACACCCTTAGGCCGTCACAGATTTCTCACTTTTTTGTGCGGAGAGCAATGAAGAGCTAGTCTCTTAGCAACTTTGAAGTTTATAATGCCTCCTTCTTTTCTCTCTGAGATTCCATAAGCATTTTGCCTGAATAGTTGGAGTCTATTCTGTCTTTGAATCTCATTAGCCTCATCCCCGTATACCCCAGTGTTGCTCTTTCTCTCTGTAATTTCCCCCCCGGGGCGAGGAGCATCCTCTTAATTCGTAAATTTAGATTTCCTAAATTCTTAAATATAATTTTAAATATTTGAACTTTTTTTTCTTGTGCGTTCTCTTTCTTTTTCTGGAATGGGTCATCCAAACGTCCCTCTGTTGTCTGCCGCCCACAGCCCCCATCTTATACTCCCGTCTTTCTTTTTCCCTCTGCGTGGTGGTCCTGTCCTCAAGCCCATCGTTCATGCCCCGGACTTGGCTTTCTGCTAAGTTCCTGGGCTTTTTTGCATGGCTCAAATCTTTCTCTTGGGTTTCTTCCCTTTACTTACCATTGTGTTCTCTTTCTTCTTGGATGTCTTCTTTGATATTTTATATCATTTGTCCCCTCTTTAATTTTGCGTAAGTTCCATGATCATCCCCGTCCCCCACCACCATTTTTTTGAATGGGTGCAATTCAGGGGAGATGAATTCATCTGGCACTATTGATTCCTCTCCTCAGTCTTCAACCCAGAGGGCTGGATATGGGCGATTTGTATTCCATTTGGTCATTCAGCTTCCGGTGGCAGTGGGAAGAGGGGGCGGGGACAGCAGGTGGCAGCAAACAGAATATCTGGTCTCTAGCACTTTCCCTCCAGCTCTGTTGATGCCTCTGAATTTGTGGGGCAGGGCCCCCAGCCTCCTCATGCACAGAATGCTGTCCTGTTGGCAGGATTCTAGAATTAATTCAAGGGTGCTCTCATACCTGTGCTCAAGTGAGGTGGTCTGCAATCGTTATGGGGTCTCTAGGAAGCGAATGGAATTAGGAAGTTTCCCTCCAAACGGGGTTGTAGACCCTCCACATGCTGTCAAAGGGGAGGGCTAGGCGTGTATGTTATAGTCAAGCCAACCCCATTTCCTCTATATTCTCCCAGTGCTACCCTTCCAAAACATGGGGCTAAAGTCTCTTCTGTAAGAGAAAGCCATGTGGGGGTCTGTTGTCTTTGGGGGTGTGCATGAGTCCTCGGGAGCTGTCTCAGAGACCACCTCCTCCCCACCCCTGCCCTCACACATTTCCCGCAGACTGTGGACCCCCTGTAGCCAAGTCATAACGGGGCTCTGGGCAGTGGGTCCAAGCTTGGAAGGCCCAGAGGCGAGTGAAACCGAGGTCCTGGTGGGTGTTGGGGTCCATGGGGGCAGCAGGGGCCAGAGTCAGGATTCCCAGAGTTCGAGGTCATGGGCAGAAGACACCAGAAGATGAGAGTCGGGGTAGCAGCTGTGAGCTGGGAATGAGGTGGGGTGCCGGGTCGGGGGGAGTGGTCACAAACCCCAGCACTGGAATTCCTGGGTTCCACCAACTACCTCGAGTTCCTTAATCTTACCTGTGAAGTGTGAATCACCAGGGCGCCCAATTTAGAGAGCTCTCGAAAGATCAAATAAGATAACCTTTGGAAAGCAGTTAGCATGAGGTTTAGCCCTGCAAAGGTGCACTCAGCGATAACTCCAGTTCCAGAAGAAAAAGCAAGAATGGTTGTGTTGGGAGCGGACGCTTCAGCCTGGGGACAGAGGGAGCTGGACCAGACGGAGGCAGCCGCAGAGGTTCAAGGCACTAGAACCTTCCTTCCCATCTGTTTTCCAGAAGTTCATTGTCCAACACACAAACCCCTTCAATGCCTGGATAGGTCTCACTGACAGCGAGGGCACCTGGAAATGGGTGGATGGCACAGACTATCAGCAGAGCTACAAGTAAGTGGCCTCCCCTCTGCCCTGTTGGTTTGGCCTGGGGCCAGCCCCCTGGTCTTTTGCCCCATTACATTCCCACCCTTCCCCCAGGGACCAAACTCCCCAACCCTCTCCCTCCCAGGCTGCTGCATCCCCTCCCTGAACCCCTCCTCCTCGGCTGTGCTTTTCTGAGGCGGGGGGGTGAGGGTTGCAGGGCTGGGGGTCAGAGCTTGAGCTGCATCTTGCCTTCCTAGGAACTGGGCGGCCACTCAGCCAGATGACTGGCAGGGGCACGAGGTGGGTGAAGGTGAAGACTGTGTGGTAGTCCAGGCGAACGGACGCTGGAACGACAATTTCTGCAAGCAGGTGCAACGCTGGGTGTGTGAGATGAGGCTGAACATCACAGCTTAGGAGCCCGCCCCCTGCCCCGCCCTCAGCTCTCTGCAGGGGGGATTTTGAAGAAAGGAAAAATAGAGGGGAGGGATCGAGACAGAATGGAGGGGTGCTGTGAGCATCACAGACCCCCGGAGACACTGAGGTCCCGCCTCCTTCCGCAAGTCACTGTCATGATTATAATTTTCAGCCTGGTCCATGGGGTAGGGAAAGAAGATGCAAGTACTTGAAGTTGCATGGACTGGTCATTTGGAACTGGGAGATGTGGGGAGCAAAGAACAGGGGGGTGTCTGGAAGAGACAGATTTAGTCCTAGACAGCTGCTCCTTGAGACCCCATCCCAAGGGACACGGGTCAGGGAGGGGAAGGGGGTTTGGAGCAGAGATGCTCAGCTCGAGGCAGCAGGTGGGGGCCGGAGGGGCTGTGTGGGGAAGCAGCTCCCCCCAACCTGGGGGATCTCCCACAGAAGAGGTTTCGGGGAAAAACAGGGCTCCTCCCAACCCCAGGAGCTGTGGTCTGGCTGACGGGGGCAGCAGAAAATGCTCGCTAAGGGAATGGGGGTCAGTAAGACGCTGTCCCCTAGCTGCAGTGGGACCACCTCTTCTGGACCCCTAAGAGATCTAGACCTTTCTCTAGCACAGGGTGTCACCAGCCACTTCCTCGGAGGCTAAATGTCACCTTCCAAAATCATTCTGGAGCCAATATTAAGAGGTTCTTGAAGCAATTAGAGTTGTTGTTTTATTTTTACTGCAAAAGTAATATATACTATCAGGAAAAAATGCTTCTCTTCACACACACAGGGATGCTCCTCACGCCTCCCACCTCTCCCAGAGTTAACTATTTTGTAGCCATTGGATTAGGGCTCTCCAAAGAACCAGCAGGATGTGTCTGTCTGTGTATGTGTGACTTATTAAAGAGATTTATTACAAGGAATGGGCTCATGCGGTTATGGAGGGCGGCAAGTCCCAGGTTCTGCAGGTGCACGGGTGAGCTGGAGACCCCGGAGAGCCAGTGACCCCAGTTCCAGTCTGAGTCCAAAGCCTGAGACCCAGGAGAGCCGATGGTGTGGCTCCATGTGAAGGCAGCAAGCTCAAGACCCAGGGAGGGCCGATGTTTCCATCGCAGCCCAAGCCAGGAAGAAAGCCTGTGTCCCAGGGTGGAGGGGTCAGGCGGGAAGGACTCTGTCTTACTCCCGGGAGGGTCAGTCTTCTTGTTCCCATCAGGGCTTTAGCCAACGGAGCCGGCCAGCCCAGTCTGCTCTACCAGTTCCAATGCTCATCTCATCCCCAAACACGCCCCCAGACACACTCAGAATCGTGTCTGACCAACTCCCGAGGTGCCCTGTGGTCCCATCCAGCTGACCCATAGAATTACCCATTCCACGTGTCCCATCAGGACGTTTCCTGCGTTCCTGCGTGGATGCAACAGAACATATCACTAGGTTGCCTGCTCCTCCTACTTCCCCCGGTCTGTGGGTATTCATCCAACCTCTGCTGTTCCCAGACCAGTTTACGTCAGCGAACTTTGCAGCCGTAGAGAGTTCCAACGTATGGATGTGCCACACGTGACTCAGACGTGCCCCAGGGTGGACAGCGAGCTGCTATTTTTGCCTGTTTTCACATGTCCTATTTCAAGCGGTTGCTGCTTCTAGCCTCGCACCGTGCTGAGACTTCCTAGCGTTCACTTGCAAAGTTCTCTAGGACGTCTCCTTCAAAAAGTGGTCGGACTGATCATTTGTGCAGTTTGAAGTCTTGTGGGGCTTGAGGCAGCCGCCCCTGCTGCTCAGAGAAACTCGCTTTTGGTGATTTGGTTGTGTCTCCCAGCATTGACATCAGAATTTCTAAATAATAGATGCAAACGGGTATTTCTTTATTGATCACTTGTGAGTATTACTTAGTAACTCTCTATCATGTCGACAGGGCACAATCTTCTCATTCAGTCTGCAACAATTTTAATTTATTTTTTTATTTTATTTATTTTTTTAAAAGATTTTATTTATTTATTTGAGAGAGAGAGAATGAGAGATAGAGAGCACGAGAGGGGGGAGGGTCAGAGGGAGAAGCAGACTCCCTGCTGAGCAGGGAGCCCGATGTGGGACTCGATCCCAGGACTCCAGGATCATGACCTGAGCCGAAGGCAGTCGCCTAACCAACTGAGCCACCCAGGCGCCCAACAATTTTAATTTAAATCCTAAATCAGGATCCGTATCAGTTATGGCTGGGTCGACCCTGGTACCTGCTGAGCCCAGCGGTATGATCTGGTTTCTAGTTCCTTTCTTGCACAACTTCTGTTTCTTCTGAAGTTAATAATTGTTTCACTTAAAATTTTTTTTCTTCGTATGCTTTGAACCTATTGTGAAGTCATCCTTGACTGTACAAAGCCTGGGTATAATTTTCTTTTTTAAAATTTTTTTAAAAGATTTTATTTATTTATTTAATTGACAGAGAGAGAGACACAGCGTGAGAGGGAACACAAGCAGGGGGAGTGGGAGAGGGGGAAGCAGGCTTGCCGCCGAGCAGGGAGCCCGACGCGGGGCTCGATCCCAGGACCCTGGGATCATGACCTGAGCCGAAGGCAGACGCTTAACGACTGAGCCACTCCAGCGTCCCGATCCTGTGGGTTTTGACTCATGTATAATGACATGTATCCACCAGTAGAGTATCATACGGAATAGTTTCACTCCCTAAAAAATCCCCCAAGTGTCGCCTACTCATGCCTCCTAAGCTCTGAAGCATTTGACGTCAGCAATAAAGAGGAAGCTACAATGACCTTTCTCTCCTCTCTCTGGAAGGTCACGTGACATCTTCATCACATGCAGAAACAAACAGTATGGCACCATAAAAAAGTGTAGGGAAAATGCATTTTTGAGGTATGCTGGACGATTGTTACAAACATTGTATCATTTTTCTGGATTTTGTGATGTTCACGGTAGCTTTCAGCTTCATAAAGTTGTAGGGGAGTCTAACAAGTAAATATTAACTGTGATGCTTTTGTATTCATAATGCTATTTTTTAAAGATTTATTCATTCATTTATTTGAGAGAGAGAGAGACTGCAGTGGGGAGGGGCAGAGGGAGAGGGAGAGAATCTTAGGCAGACTCCCCACTGAGCACAGAGCAGGACACAGGGTTCAATCCCATGACTTTGAGATCATGACCTGAGTCAAAACCAAGAGTCAGATGCTTAACTGACTGTGTCACCCAGGCGCCCCCATAATGTTGGTTTTTTTCTAAGGAGGGCTCTTCAAAACTACGCTTCAGGCCCCATAAAACTCACATTCACCCATGTGGCTCTAGGAATGAAGTGCAGTTCAGATCCTGGTTAGATGACCAGTCAGCGTGTGTAGAAAATTATACCCATGGGGCACCTGGGTGGCTCAGTTGGTTAAGCGTCTGCCTTTGGCTCAGGTCATGATCCCGGGGTCCTGGGATCGAGCCCCGCATTGGGCTCCCTGCTCTGCGGGAAGCCTGCTTCTCTCTCTCCCACTCCCCCTGCTTGTGTTCCCTCTCTCACTGTGTCTCTCTCTGTCAAATAAATAAAAAAAAATCTTAAAAAAAAAAGAAAAGAAAAGAAAGGCAAGGTGGGAAAGAAAAGGAAGACAAAAATAAAATGAAAATGGCAATTCTTTTGAGTTATTAGAATGACTCACTTGCGGAGAGAGTAAACCCAAGCATGTTTCACGATAGTAAGCAGAACATTTATAGAGTCAAACGGTCTCTGAAAGATGAACAACTTTGCGGGAGCCAACAGCTTCCTAGAATAATAATAAGCAAAAATAAAAGTTGCTTGTACTGTGCTTTTAGAAGTAATTTTGCCACAGTAATCTATCAAAGGAAGACCTGAATACATGCCAAAAGGAGAGATTAAAAAAATACTTATGGGGCTCCTGAGTGGCTCAGTCGGTGAAGCGTCTGCCTTTGGCTCAGGTGATGATCCCAGGGTCCTGGGATCGAGCCCCATGTCGGGCTCCCTGCTCCACGGGAAGCCTGCTTCTCCCTCTCCCACTCCCCCTGCTTGTGTTCCCTCTCTCGTTGGGTCTCTCTCTGTCAAATAAATTAAATCTTTTAAAAAAATAAAAATAAAATACGACTAAATTAAAAGCATGTATAAATAACAAAAAGAGAACCACGACATCTTAGCTGTTTGTAAATGAAGAGCCACTTTCCCATTATCACCATGATTCAAAGTGAAAGTTATCTAGAAAAGAAAGAAATACATCAAAACCTATGGGACACAGCAAAAACCGGGCTCAGAGGAAAGTGTACAACTTCATTTTTTTATTAAAGATTTTATTTATTTATTTGAGAGAGAGATTGAGCAAGCACGAGTCAGGGGCAGAAGCAGAGGGAGAGGGAGAAGCAGATTCCCTGCTCAGAAGGGAGCCAATGCAGGACTCGATCCCAGGACCCTGAGATCATGACCTGAGCTGAAGGCAGATGCTTCACCGACTGAGCCACCCAGGTGCCTCAGGTTTTGACTATTGCAATCAAAGCTGCTGTGAACATTCATGCACAGGTTTTTATGTGAACACAAATTTTCATTTTCCTGGGATAAATATGCAACAGGGCAATTGCTGGGTCATATAGTGGTTGCATGTTTAGTTCCAGAAGAAAGTGCCAAACCGCTTTCCAGAGTGGTTACCCCATTTTCTATCCCAACCACCCAGCACGTGAATGATCCCCTTTGTCTGTAGCCTCACCTGCATTTGGCTGCTATCATTCATTTTAAAAATTTTAGCTATTCTGGTAAGTGTGTAGTTGTTTATTGCTGTGGTTTCAATTTGCATTTCCCTGATGGCTGATGGCATCGTGCATCCCCTCACGTGCTTACTTCCCATCTGCATATCCTCTTTGGGGGAAATGTCTCTTTGTGGTTTTTTGCCCATTTTTCTAATAGGATTCTTGGATTTTTCTACTGTTGGATTTTGAGAATTATTATTTTTTTAAATATCTCATTGTGTAATTATAGTTGAGTGAATTTATTTGAAAAGCTTAGAAAGTATTTTTGGGGCGTTTGACTAATTTCTTTCAATAACTATATCTGAGCACCTTCTGAGAGCAAATCAATAAGTGAATAAGAGCAAATCAATAAGTGAATAAGACAGTGTAAAACATTAAAGCCTACATTTGTCATCTCTTCACTGAGTGGGGTTCAGAGAATTCTTTATGTATTCTAGACACTGGTCTTTTGTTGGGTATGTGGTCTGCAAA